AAAGAAAAACAAAAGAATTTCACGATAGTAGAATTTCTTTTAAAACTTTTTCTGTCGGTCAAAAGGTTTTATTATTTAACTCCAAATTTAAACTTTTCGCAGGAAAACTCAAATCAAAATGGCTCGGACCGTTTACAGTTACTCAAGTATTTTCTTACGGTGCTGTTGAAATTGAAGATAACTCAGGAGTACGATTTAAAGTTAATGGTCAAATATTGAAGTCATATTATGAAAATGCTCCGGTTGGTCTAATCGAAGAAATCAATTTAGAGGAACCCACGCTTTGAAAAATCAGGTCGTCGAGCTAACGACGTTAAACAAAAGCGCTTGATGGGAGACAACCCATTTCGTTTTATTTTCATTTTATTTATTTTATTTTGTCAGATGCTTAATTTTATTTTATTTTTCTCTGAACAGATTCGAATTTCGATATGACCATGACCATGGCCGCGGTCGCCACTAGATTGGGGAGTATTCCTTTTCCCTCTCTTTGATTTTAAATTTGATATACGTTTTGGGACAAAACAGAATAAGTGAGGGGGGAGGATAAGCATGTGTCAAAATCTTCCTTGACTTGTTTAATTGTTTGAAATTGAGTTATTCTGATGTTGATATGTTGGGATCATTGGTCGCTAGTCTTGAATTTCGCTTTATACTCTTGTTTCCTTTTGGATTATGACCATATTTGTTATCGAATTTAATTTGCATGATTGATGATTGATATAGCTAGTGAATTTTTGTTGAGTATTGATATCTCATGCTTTTGTCGATAGAGATGAACTTGACTCAATGTATATAAACTTTTCTTGTGAGATTTGAGCATAACGAGTATACATTTTCTTTCTTGCTCATTGTTTGACTTGAGTGTGTCGAACTAATTAGGATATTCTAGAACTTGTAATCACAATGCATATCGAGACTACATGTTGAACGTAATGTTTTAATGTGATAGGGGCACCTAGGATAAACCCACTTTTCCCAAAAAGCCTACCCGTTTATATATCCACTAGTAAACCACATTTGAGCTTATTTCACTATCTTTGTTTTACACCTCATAATTAAACCCGAAGCCTTTTTTTTATTTTTCCTCTCTTTTCACACCCTTATCGAGACTTGAGATCTTATATTATTGTTGTTCCACGAAAAAAATTCAATGTTTCAAAAAAAATTTAAAAAAAGAAGAATAAAAAAGACCCTTTGTTCAAAAAAAAGGAAGGAAAAATCGATCTCTTCAATTGTCTTTCATCTATTCTTTTTCCTTATTTTGTTCTTCATCGTGCTTTATGTTGATTTGTGGATTGTTCTTAATTATTTTGATCTCTTGTTTCGGTATTTTAAAAATTTATTTTCGGCCTTTTCCCTATCCTAACCTAAGCCCCGTTACACTTTGTTTAAAGACCCCTTGATTATTGCATTATGTTCATTTTTCATAGTGGAGACTTGATTGGATTCCAAGCCTATGGTAATATTTTGGTTAGTTTTGGTTTGAGCGATTTTATTTACCCCAAACACTTTGAACAGATATGTGTGAATCTTTGTGAGGTATTAGTCATGTTTCATTGAAGTTGGCGATTAATTGAGATACATTGTTTATTTTAAATTTTCTTGGTTATGTCTTTACTTGATTGTAACTTGAATTCGGCAAATGTCATGGACTTAATTCGATTGGAAGTTTGAGGAATAAATTGAAATTGAAGATGACAACTTATGATTTTAATATGTTAATTGATGAATGCTTGAGGACAAACAATGAATAAGTGAGGGGAAATTTGATAAGTGTTTATTTTAGTTAATATTTTACTTTTAAATTACTCTTAAATCATTGATTTTTGTGGTTTATTTGTTTATTTTAATTCATTTTTGTACAAGACGTAAGATTCTGTAAATTGCACAAAAAAGATACAATTCTACAGTTTTTTTATTTTCGGAATCAAAGCTGGCTGGAATTCGGATTTGAATTAAACTTAAGTTTAGGATAATATTTCAACATTATATTTTATCTTTGTATTTTAGTTTAAATAGATTTTTAGTATTTTAATTAAGTTTTAGGATATTATTTTTATATTTTATCTTTGTTTTAGGTATTTTAGTTGAAATATGTTTTAGTGTTTTAATTAGGATTTAGAATATTATATTATTTTTTTAGGTATTTTAGTTTAAATAGTTTTAAGTGTTTTAATTAAGATTTAAGATGTTTTAGCTTGTTTTTAAGAATTTGAAGGCTATAAATACCCTCGTGAGCCTAGAAACATATCTCTCCCATTTGAGAATAAAATCTTCTTTTTCTCTCTAGCTTTCTCTCTATTTTTTGCATACTTTTCTATTATGCTAAGTATGACTTTGGTTATGCTTAGCTAATTTACTTTCAAGCCGAAGACTAAAGCGAATGCTCAATTCCAAACGAGAGAATTGTAAGGTACTTAAATCGCTTCGGATTTTCTCTCTGTTTTATGAACTTCCTTTTCAAATCAAAACGATTTGACATTGGTCCGAATATTGTTATGGTTAACGTTTGAAGGATTTGCTTATTGAAGCATATTCAACTTCCCGAGAACACACTTAGCAAAATTGTTTGCTAAAAGGAAACTGAGATCGGAATCAGTTGTTATTGAAACGACACAATCCGAGTTGACAGTGAAGAATTGTTCTTGTAAGCTGACGTGAATCTTGAAGTAAAAATCTGTTTCGATGATCCGAGGAATTTGAGGCGAAGCTGAAGTCTGATGATGCTTTCACAATAAGTTTCCCTTTATCTCAATCTCTTTAATTTGTTTATTTAATTATTTTTCTTTTATTTAATTCTTATTTTTTTATTTTAAAAACAACTTTTAAAAATCCTCTTTTATATTTATTATTATTACTATTTTTTATATTATTTTTCTTTTTTTATTTTATAATATATCTTTTCAACTTCATCTGGAATTCTATCTTCCTCTAAAATCAAGAAAGAGTTTTATTAAATCAGAAACACCACAGTCCCTGTGGATCGACCTTGATTCTCTGTACTACATTTTCCTTTTTATTTATTAAGTAGTCAGAAATTATTTTAATAACAAAACGACGGTTATCAATGGCTAATGGATGACGAACCGAAAAAGACTATCGTCTCTAAGGTCGGCATGGGTGGTTAGGGGAAGACAACTCTTGTTGCCAACACTTTCAACAAACAAAATGTTAAGCAACATTTTGATTTCTGCACTTGGATCATCGTCTCCCAACGATATGCAATTGCAGAGTTGGTTAGGTCTATGGTAAAAGATATGTACAAGCAAACAAATAAAGATGTTCCTATGCAAGTTGATGCCATGGCCTACAGATAGGGATGGGTATGGGACCCAAATTCGACGGGTTTCGACCCGATCAGATCGGGTCGTGGTTTTTTTTTAGTTCAGGATCGGGTTGAGTTTTTTAAAGGTGATGTCGAGTTGGGTCGGATTCGGGTTTAGGATAAAAATATCCGACTTGACCCGAAAAAAATAATTTTACCTTATATATTTAAGAATAATTATAATAATACCTCTCTATATATTATTTTTTTCAATTAAATCGCTATTTTTATTGAATAAAAATAATATTTTTATTATTTCGGGTCGGGTCGGATCGGATTCGGATTTTATCTCAATAAGTCGGGTCAGGTCGGGTCGGATGGAGAGTATATGTTTTTCGGGTCGAGTCGGGTCGGGTTGGCCGAAATCGGACCCATGCCCATCCCTACCTACAGAGCATTGGTGGATACACTGGTGCAGTTCTTGCAGTCAAGATGATACCTTATTGTTTTAGATGATGTGTGGAGCATTCAATTCTGGCACGAGATCAATATCGCACTTCCAGAAGGTATGCGTGGAAGCAGGATCATGAACTCCCAAGGGAATTTGGAGATTTATTCAATTTGAAATATCTGAACTTGTCAAGGACTCAAGTGAAGGAGCTTCCGAAATCGATCGGTAAACTGTCTAACTTGCTGACATTACTCCTCAACTTTGTCAAAATTCATAAACTCCCAGTGAATGATATAGATTCTGCAATTCAGACTATAGAGAGCATATGTGCACCATTAAACATTTGTACGTTAAAGAGTTTGCAAGTTTTATCATATGTCAAAGGAGAAGATACCTTCTTGATTAAGCTCAAAGAAATGACACAATTGAGAAGGCTTGGACTTGATGGAATAACAGTAGCTGATGAAATACCCCTATGCATCTCAGTTGAAAGAATGGAACACCTTCATCACTTATCCTTGACTGCTCGACCTAAGGCTACACTAAAGCTAGACGCTCTTTCATCAGCTCCTCGCATCTTGAGAAGCTTCTTCTGATCGGGAAATTGAGAACCGTGCCACAGTGGTTTAACACCCTACAGAACCTCAAGTACTTGAACCTACAGTGGTCAGAATTGAGGGAGGATGCACTTCCTCACATCCAAGCATTGCCTAATTTGTTGGTCAAGTCTTTCAAGTAATTCATTTCTAGGAGAGCGCTTATGGTTTATTGAAGGATTCCCAAAGCTTAAGATTTTAGATATAAAGGGGTGCCCTCAGTTGAACGAGATTTTGGTGGAGAGAGGAGCGATGCCAAATCTCGAAGAACTACCGAGTCTTGAGATGCAGAGAGTTGAGGAGATTGCCATATGGTTGGGAGCATCTAACCCATTTGAAAGAGGTGCGCTTGTTTGAGGTTTCAAATGACCTTGTAGAGGGTATATGCGGAAAAGTAAATGACCTCCCAACTTCACCATACATATCACTCATTAGAATCATTGATGATCATGATGATGAAGTTGAATCAATGTGGATATGTCAAATCCTTAATTAGGTGATGTTTACGACAGCAGGCCGCGACTATAAGTACTCATGGATGCTTTTCATTTGTTTCAAATAATTGCTGCCAAGACATCATCGATATGATGGTAATCAGGTAGCAACTTGTAATGAATAACATGTTTTATCTGGAATGTTGAACATTTTGAAGGTGATAGTAGGCATTATGGATCCGAGTTTGATATCAAAGGTAAATTTTCCAGAAATATGAACCAGAAGAACATACAATCATGCAATCAACGTTAATCTTCAAAGAAAATATGAAACTGGTTCCCTTAGTTGTGTTGCAGAACCTGTTGAGTACAAGCAAACAAGTATTCAAGCTCCATATTTTGTTTTTTTCCCTTTTGGATGGTTAACATAAGAACCCTTCATTCGATTCAGTCATCGCCCCAGGCATCATCTTTCAACTTTTGCCTTGTAGTTATCCGGTTCCTCCTGGCTTCTTCCTGGCTTCTCAGTTCTCTAGAACCAAAGGTGGATGGCAATTTCGATCCTATTGCCTGAGCAATCAGCCTCTGGGCAGTTCTAACTGATGTCTGCGGTCTTTGCCGAGGAGGCTCCAAATCTGGGAAATGAACAGAACACATTTTTACCGCTATCAATATTTTATCTTACTATATACCTTCATTAGATAAATCCTACAACTCTAAACAATGCAAAGTTGCAAACAAATTAAAGCTGAAGCTGAGGGCAACTAAATGAAATGCACAAGAAGCATTTAAAATTGGAATGCAGATGTTATTGTCCAACTAAATGAAAGTAAGCTATTTAAAGTACCTCTAGCTGAAATTGAGCCCAAGAGCACATCATCCTTGTCAAGTATGCGTACAGTAAATGGACAACGAACATGGCTGAAGACTTCAAGGGCTGGCATCAAATTTTGAGATAGTTAGCCAAATAAAAACTATTGTTGCAGAACTTTGCAAGCTGATTGTAGATTATGACAAAACAAACATGCTTTACCCTTTCTTAAGAGCAATGCTAGATTGTTCAAGTGGTACGAAAGGAAAAATAAAAACATAACATTGAAGTTGATTCTCATTCCAGGTCTGGCATTGTCTCTATAGTCCAGATATAGACAACCACTGGATGCAATTCAAGTTGATTTACGAGTCCTATGGTTGTTTCTACTTGAACGATTCCCATGGACATATTTGGCACATAAAATATTTGCATTATGATCTCTTATTGGCTTTGAGATGGAAGCAAATAAAAAATTGGCTGAAGAGTTCATGTTTCATCAACATAAAATCAAGATTTTGAAAACTAATTTACACAACTAAATTTGAAGGATAGATAGTCGCTCAAGAAAGGAGAAAGTGAAACATGTAAAGTTTGTTCACAATTCCAACTAAAAGGTAAGTGTGAAGATATCATTTTCCATAATTGCATCATGTTCAAGGGCAAGTATTTAATCAAGGGGAATAATGCTTGTATCCAGCCCCAAGTTTGAATGATGCACGTTAAAGTGCTATAACCATGATGATACTTCTAAACAAGTGGAAAGTGGAAACATTTTTAAGAAAATTGCCCCTACCTCAAAATAACTTTAGAAATCTATTTCACAGAACATAAACAAAGAAGTTAGTAACTATTACCAATAGAAGGTGTTCGAAATACTGCAAGGGCAGTTGTATCATTGACCCAGCGAATGGCAACTCCTTGATCTCTGAAGTTCTCAAAAAGCTTCTCTAGGTCTTGTGTCCTAGTACTTGGTGAAAAGCCGGCCAAAACAAGAACATGGTGTGTGCCATATCTAGCTGCATTCAAAAGAATTTCCAATCCTAATGATTAGTATGATCTTGAAAGACAATACAGAAAAGCTAACGTGAAAATTGACTGTCAAACTAAAATCAGCCTTCTAATATTATCTATATGGTTTTAGAGGCTTAACAGGAACATATTCAAATCCATGAAAATAACTTAATTCTTTCCCCTAGTCGTGACTTGAATTTATCTAACTGCAATGAAGAAAAATAAAATAAGAACAAAAATGCAAAATATAACACAGAGTTCCGAACCTTATACAGGAACTTTCATTCGTCTTGTTATATAGATATATGAAAAGAGAAGGAAAGACCATAAATAACTTGAAATCATTGAAAGAGATATGACAAGATGGAACAAAGTTTGTAGTAAAAACAGTGTATAATATTTCAGTTTGAAAGGAATGCTATGTCACGATAGATCAAGGCCTGGAAACAAGCAAATAAGCATAGTTTCAGGTTCACTAAGAAAAGACTTAGTCACCTATCTCCTACATATATAGTCATTTGTGGGAAAAAAACTGGAATTTTGAGACATAAATGCTTACGTTCAACCGTTTTTGTTTCAGGGTGTTTGCCCACATCCTCATTCTCAGTATCTTCAGGAGCAGACAAGTCAGATAGTTGATCACTGTACAATTCACTTCTTTTATATGAAAATGTCCCCCTTCCACGTCTCTTAGGGGCTTCGACTTTACTATCCTCCAATGAAAGTTTTGATACTCCAGGCAAACATTCTGAAGAAAGCAACTCATCCGGTTCACTATCCGCAATGGCTTCCCAATCTGTACAAACCATTAGAATTGCAAATCCATAGCAGGTCATCCATTTTAGGGAACCATAGAAAATCATTCAGATGGGCTAAACTACTAAAATAAAACATACCATCATCTGAAGAAGAGTTAGGTGGCAAACAATCATCGGGCAGTACAGGTAATTTTCCACGGTTCGCTTTAGCCAAACATTAAAGGGAAAAAAATTCAGTTCCACATAAATCATAAGAGATAAATGCAATAAAATCCCCCCAAACCCCAACATATTAGGTTTTCCCATGACACCAAGCCACAAGAGAAGCAAAATTTTCATCTTATTAAAGCACCAAAATAATATAAATGCATTCAGAAACAAAAGCAAAAAGGTAAATCATTTGCCATTTGCAGCCAAAGAAACATTAGGTGACGTTAAAGAATCCTCCTTCAAGTCCTTGTTTTTCAGTGCCGCACTGAAGTTCAAACGAAAGACAGGTAATTTAACCTTGAAATCATTTCCATTTACATTAACAAGAAAGAAAGAAAGAAAGGGAGTACGTTGAAGAGTGAGCACGAAGTTTGAGAACAGAAGCGCGTGAAAGAAGTTCATCGGATTTAAGGGAGAAACCGATGGAGGAATAGAGGGAAGCTAAGTCGGAAAGGGCAGAGGCTAATCGGAGGTCTTCGGACGGCGTCGTTTCGATATCGGAAATGAGGTCTTCGAGGAAAGTGATGGCGGTCTGCATGTCTCCGGCAGCCACCAAATCCTCCACTTTCTCACTCCAACTCGCTTCACCTGTTTTTTCCATTTGGTTGCTCTGTTCTCCTCCGCATCTCATAACAGCAAAACTATTTTATAATTCTAAGACTTCGTTTCTTGAATCTTGAAGCCCAGCCCATTCAAGTCTCAATAATTCATCTATAAAAGCCTAAACCACAAAGTCTTAACTTTCCCCATTCTATTTTTGGGCCTAAAAATTTAACTTAATTGTCAATTAAAATTTGAGTTAGCATAGAACACTCTTCTCTGACACAAATTTCATTAGAAAAAGTCTTCATCAACTTAAAATCTTACGTAAGTCAAATATCCATTGAAGTATCACTGTTAGGTCTTCAACAACTTCAATTTTTATGTAATATTTGTTAGATCATCGCTTAATCGGTTTACTCTCCTACAATTGGAAACTCATTACAATAAAATTACTCTTATACGTCTTCAATATATATAGCTAACAAAGCTGTAACAACAAATAACTTTGAAACTCATAACTCAAATCATAGTTCATGATATCATTTATTAGAAATTTGTAAGGGGAAGAAAAATATAAATGAGATCAAGATAAAATTAAGACATGCTTAAGAGACTGGATTTGATGTAGTTCGGCCTTACCTACCTTCATGGATGAAATAAATAAATAATCCACTATAAACGTAGAGATTACAACGAACACAAATATATTGAATTTTTTGTATCTCAAAAATTTGATATATCTATCCAAAAACTTGATTATTATCCAAAAACCCTCTCTCAATATCTTTACAAAATTCATCTCTACAATATAAACCCTAATAGTTATCGAGTTTAAAACAAAAATTACATTTATATAGAGTAATTTTTTCTCGTAATTCTCTAAAATAGTTGAAGAGTAAATAATTTTGGTCACTAAAAATCATTATCCCATAAATTTTTTTATTTAAATAAATTTAATCACAAAATTATAAAAACTAAGAGCATAGGTAAGTTGAAATATGGATGGTATACACCCCATAAACCATTTTAAAGATCTATATTATAAAATAAAATGTTTCAAATATCTTCAATTGTATCAAATAAGATATAATGCTCAACCTTAATATTTCAAGCCTAAACTACGTAAGAATATATACGAATTACCTATATATATAAACCATCGATCTTCCCTTTACAGTCGAGCAAGCAGCATATGTATATATATATATATATATATATATAGAAACTGATCTTCGGCCTTCTTTTATGCATGCTCTTCCGAAGTGTTTCGGAGAATATAACCGAAAGTGAATGCAATGGGAAGGTTGGGTTTCGTATTTTCATGCCACAAAATCGGGTAACAATTGAGCAGCAAACCTCTTCCTGTTTTGCATCTCAAAGGTGGTCGAATGAGAACCTTGTTGTGCGTTATTGATTGAACAAAACTCAGATTCCGCTGCCCCTAATTCTATCCTTCTTCCTAGCTGAATGCTCTGGTGGTGGTTCCCCGAGAGTGACAGATTCTCACAATGGGGAAGGCCAAGGGTGAGCGAAACACTGTTCCCATGAAACCTCGGTGTCAGCTGGTCCGGATCGAACCTCCTGATATCTCCCATCGCACCACCGTATGTGGCAAATCCACCGCCGGGAAACGAGTAACTGTCTTTGGGCAGCCTTTCATCACCCTGCTTCATTTCCATGTTCATTGAAAGGATACTGCTAGGGGAATTCTGCAAGTCATTAACAGTACTACCTCTTGTCTTTTTGGGGCTTCTTTGAGATGCACCGTCGAGGTCGGAGGAGCCGATGAGATTGAAGGGTGTTTGTGGGAGAAAGGAGGGTTCTCCATTGGAAAATTGATCAGTAGAGGGAATATTGATGGAATTCTGGGTTTTGACTTGTTCCATCATGAATGATACGTTCTCTTGCCGGCCACTAGAGGTAGATCCCGACTCCTTTTGCCCAGTTTCGTTTGGGGTTGGTTCGCTGCCATTCTTGTCTTGTTCCTTCACTTCCTCCATGTACATTTCTTCAACCATTGGCTTCCATAGCCGAACTCGAGCATTTATGAACCAGTTTGACACCTGCATTCCAAGTTGAGTTATACAGTCCCTAAAAGCTTAGCTAACGGTTTTCTCCTATATATAAAAGAAATCTCCCATATACAAATCCTAAACTTTACATTTTAAACCCTAAACTACAATAATACATACTACTTTTGATCTTAGACTATATCACTATGTATGATCGGAACTGGTTTATTTTAATTATTATTTAAAAATAAAATATAATCATTTAAATAAATTATTAAATTTAATTAATAGTTTTAAAATTTATATTTATATATAAATATATTTATATGCATGTAATTGAGGTTTATTTTTGTGTGTAATGTACATATTTAAAAAAAATACTTATATGTCTGAAACATATCATCAAAATTAGGGATGATAAAGAATGTTGCAAAATCTATCATCATTCCATTATTAGCACACTCTATCCTACTAATAGCTTCGTTTCACTGTGGATGTTTAATTTTGGAATCTATTACCACTTCCATGGGTACTGGAAGCATTATTAGCCCTTTAGTGATATAATCTCTGTTAATTACTATTTCTATGGATTTTATCTTAAAAATATTCTTTCAAACTCATTCAGATAATGAATATTTTTTGTTAAGAGAAAGATGTTTTAAGACATACCTGGCTTCTTGTAAGCCCTGTTTGTTTGGCAAGCATATGTTTGTCTGAATCTTTAGGATAGCTGATGACAAAAATAAAATCAAAGTTAATCCGTATATGCTAGTCATCTAATTATAGTAATTCTAATTTTGTAGTTCATACGGATGAAGAAAATGCTCGAAAAGCCAAGCACGAAGGACGGAAACTGCTCGTTCGGGTAATCCTCTTTGGGGTCTCCAAGCATTGTGTTGGACCATTCCCAGCTGCTGCAACGCTCGCTGTTGCCGGAGCTGATGATCCACGTATCGCAACCTCGATCCCTCCACTTTTGCACCCAAGCAATCCTCTTCCCCTAATATCTTGCTCGTCGCTTTGATTTGTCCGGATATCGCATCTTTAAGACATCGGAACTGCTTCGAGATCGTCTTCAAAGCAACGGCAGTGTACGCTTTCGCAGCACCGAATCCGGCCGCCTGCTCGAACGATGAAACCACTATTTGCATTTGATGATGGTACTGCCTGTATCTTTGCTCCACCTTCACAAACAAAGCGCCACTAACATTAGTGGAAGATAATAGATCTATACATAGAGTAGTAATTCCTTCAATTAATTAGCGAACCTCATCGAGCATGTTGATTTGCTTTGCTTTCTTCATCTGAAGCTCCTGTCTTTGTGATGTGGTGAGCTCAGCTCCACATTTGGTTCCATCTTCAGCAGCACTTGAAGCTTCAGCAGCCACTGATTCTTTGTTCATCTTTATCTTCTCCCTGGTCCCCTCAGACACGTCAGTCTTTTTCCCTTTCCCCACATTAACCACTTCATCAAGAAGCTCTTGCGCTGCTCTCAAGTACCTTGATCCCAATACCACACTCTGAGCCCAGGAAATCCCGTTTGAAACCACGGAAACCGACGACGGTGAGTTCCCCATTATCCTCACGTCGTCGGCCAGTGACATGGTTGGGACTTGAGGTTGTTGTTGTCCTTGTATATCTGTTTCGACATTATTGCTCGACCTATTATAAGCCGCTTGTTGGGATGATAAACTCAGTGACAAACGTTGCCTCGGCGACACCACCGGCCGACGAAACCCCGTCTGCGACGAGACGACGTCTTGGGACCCACCCGAGTTATTATGATCTGCTGCTGCCGACACGACCTGAGGATAACTAGTACTTCCTGTTGGAGAATTCTGATGATCAAGGCTCAAAGTGCCCCATAAATTGGAGTGGAAACTGGGGACTATACCGTGAAGAGGCGATGAACGGTTGGGATCATCGGAATTTACCGGCCTTATGGAAGCCGATGGTAGTGTCGGGAGAGGAAGACCGAGGAAGCGCTGTTGGTTGCTAGGCGGTGGCGCTTGGGGTAAACTTGTGGGGTTTAAGAAGAACACGTTAGGGGCGGCCGCGGCTGGTTGGTGTGTATCGGAGTAAGGAACGTAGTTGGGGTTCATAAGAAAGAGCGTTTGCATCCCATCAGGTGTAGTAGCTGAAGCAGTTTGGAATTCCGAGCTTCCATGAAAGTACGTCGCCATCTTGATTTGTAAAAAAAGAAAAAGAAATCCCACTTGTACCAGTACCAGCGTACGGAAACTGCACAAGTTCTTTTTCACCGGAAAGACAAGAGATTGACTTGAAGTGAACAAATCAGCCCATTTTGATGTTCAATTCATAACCTGGGAAAAAATAAAGCGAAACCCAAAGCACAGATAGGGAAAGATTTGATCTTTAAAAGTAAAAATAAAATAAAAAAAAGAAGGAAATCAAAGGAAAATGATCAGTTTCTCTGATAAAGAATAAAAAAAATCGAGAGGGGAAAGGATTAGGAAGCCGTCAAAGGATGTTGTAGAGACAGGTAAAGTACCATATTCCAATCCAATTGTGGCTAAAAACACACGAGAGAAGATGCATATCCGTGAGAGTCAGCACACGTTCTCTCTTTGGAGGGGGGGGGGACTATATTCTGCAGATATTGTCAGCCTTCTTTGCTATTTTCCTTTTGGTTCAAAATAATTGATGATAACTAAAAAGAAAAGAGAAAGAGATGGTGGTTTCCATTATCTTATCTCTCCAATGGTGTTAGGTAGCAGTACTATATTTTGAAAGCGAAATAAAAACCAAAAGGCGTTTTTACCTAAAAATTACATTCATAGAAATTAATTACTTGTCAAGTACCGTTTGAAAAAATTTTATCGATCTAATACTCTTTGTAAAATGACGCAAATGATGATCCGTACCTTTTATAATTGGTTCCGAATTTCTTGGCCTTTAAAATCTCTCATCGCTTATAAATATCCCCCTTCAACCGTAAACATCACCACATCAATTTCTCCTATATTTTCTTCACTAGTTCTTTCGATCTTTTGTTGTAAGGTATTTTTTTAATATATTACATTTACTTTATATATGATTATTTGAAAAAAATTATTATATTAATTATTTTCTATTATTTTTTGTGGTTGTAAAATTAGAAAGTGAGATCATACGCTAGACATTTTTTTTCGATACAGTAACAATATAAAATTATATTATTTAAATTATTGTTAATATTTTTAAATTTTTTATTAGGTTATATTTTAATTCATATATTATTTATTTAATTAGGCGTATTTCAGCTATTGTTTTTGCATATATAAGACTCTCAATCTTTCAAACTCTCAGAATGACGCGTATTTCAACTATTGTTTACTATGATGGAGAAATTCGAGAAAATGAAATCGGTGTCGTGTTTGTATCAAATTATTCTGTCAAAATATTCTTGAAAATAAACATAACTCTTGAGGAGCTAATAACAAATATTTCAATGAATGTTCATGTTAGAAGTACTAGAAGATTGTCCTCGCTTCAATACAGATTTTCAACATCGATGTTTCCGTTAACTTATATAGCGTTTGAACTATCGAACTATGACGATGTTGCAATGATAGTTGATTATCAAAATCATTATTCAGACGTTGATATGGAGATGTATGCTAAATTTGTTGAAGTGTGTTGTTTGTGGTATGTCATTATGCTCCCACTATGGGATGGCTCAACAAGTTGATTAAGTGGACATCACAACTACAATAATGTGTAATGATTTTAACGTCATAATAGGAAATCCGCATCATGGTGTCATCCCATCAAGTTCAATGGGAGACATTCATCAACAACTTCTTATGATATGTACCGAGGTGACTCCACAAATAATTCGTATGGCAACATCGCTTCCAGTTCAAGGGGAAGACATTCATCTGCTAATTTCTTTGACTTGAATATGGAGATGTCCTCGACGCAACAATCTGTGCAATACCAATTTGACACGATGCCTCTAAGCTCCAAGGGGAGACATTCAACTGTGAGCTTCTTCGACCTCAATGTCGAGATGCCTTCAAGTTCAAGGGGAAGACATGCAACTACCAGCTTGTTCGACCTAAATGTCGGTAGCATGGAGGAACCATAATCTCTACAAAAAGAACTCTTAGTGAGCCAGGTGCGGATGGTGCTGAGACTAGACTATTCGATCACCCAGAATCATCGCAGTTCAATAGACTCTGATGATGATGAAATATATGAAGTTCCCACAAATACGATACACACTGAACCTCCAGTTCACATGTATGAAGCTGACTATGGTGCAATGTACGAACCATAATTTACGGATATGCCTAATGTCGGTGACTATGGATTTAACTCATTAGTCAATGATGGTGAGTTATATAAAGGAATGGAGTTTTCATGCAAAGAAGAAGCGATGATGGCAATTAAGAATTACAATATTCGTAATTCTATTCAGTCCAGAATCGACCGCTCTACCACCGAAAAGTATGTCTGTCACTGTGTCCAACATGATAATTGATGCAATTGGATGGTTAGTGTATCGAATAGGAAAAGGAAAAATAATATATGGGAACTAACGATATATAATGGTCCTCACACATACTGTGCTGGAGGGATCAACCAGCTCCCATCATGCCCATGGTAAAAGCAAGCTCCCATATAGCTATTGTTGTGTTGATTTCAGCTATACAATCACAATATGGGTATATTGTCTCATATAGGAAAACACGGAAGGCAAAGCAGAATGCCATTAAAAACTTCACGGGAATATGATACATCTTACAACGAACTACCAAGTTGGTTTAGGGTGGTGCGCAGATTGAATTTTGGAACAATTATGGACTTCAAAACTTGTCATGCATACCACAATGATCAAGTGATTCGCGATCGATGCCAATTCTACCGGCTTTTTTGGACCTACTCACAGTGCATTAATACTGTGAAATACTACAAGCCCGTGGTCCAAATCAACGGGACAGTCTTGTATAGAAAATACAAGCAAGTTTTACTATTGATAATTGTCCAAGATGGTAATCGCAACATACTTCAGTTGTTTTTGGCCTTGTTGAAGGAGAATATACAGATTCTTAGGATTTTTTCCTCTGAAACTTACGTTACATGTTATCATGAGGGGGGAAATCTGTGTTATTTCAGATCGCGGAGCTAGGATCAAAGCAATAATGGATTCTTTGGGTCCAATGTGACAACCACCCTATGTTTAACATAAGTACTATATCCGACACATTACTGCAAAATATCATGGAAGGTTCAAAAAGAATGATGAGTGTTAATTACTTGTTCGCATGGGAGTGTCAATTACTTGTTCGCATGGGTATGTCAAAAGCTATTTTTTGTCAATCATTTTCATTTTTTATAGAAACAAAGTTATTAAGTTCTATATTTGATGCACAGGTTACGAACTACTACCTCAAACATTTGAGTCCATGCTTCAAGAGTTACGGGGAAAGAACGAGGAATGATACGATTACATCAGTCTCATCAATAAAGAAATGTAGACAAATGCATATGATGGTGGATATAGATATGGGCACATGACGACCAACTTGGCTGAGGCTATTAATTTGACCTTAAAGGGGGCACATCATTTACCATAACGGCTTTGGTAAAAATGACATATTTTCTTTTGGGAGTGCTTTTTGCCAAGCTCGGGGGACAAGCTCAAAATTGGATGCAAAACGGTCATGTCTATCACCCTAGATTAGTTATAGATCTATAAAAAAGAATTATTACATCAAATGAAATGTCTGTAATAAACTTCTCTAGAACCTATAATTGTTTCGTGTCACAGAGATCCTGCGACCTCTTCGAGGGATTCAAGCTAACTCGTTCAGAGTTAATCTACGAGACAGATTGTACGATTGTGGGCTTTTTCAAACTCTAAAGTATTCATGCTCTCATGTCGTAACAGCTTACTTGCATACCTGTCAAGACTATAGTCATTTTGTGGATCTCGTATACCTACTATTAGAAGTGATTAAGGTATATGAATTTGAGTTCCCCCCATAGGTAATGAGAAAAACCCTAATGAGGTTCAAAATTACCTTCCGATTGTACCAGATATGTCCTTATTGAGGGAGCCCGATCGTCCAAAATCCAGTCGAATTCATTGTGATATGGATATTTGAGAAACGTCTAGAGAAAACAAAAGATGTAGGCATTGTAGAAACCCATGACACAATAGGAAAAATATCCATCTCTTTTTTCATCAAGTAACCATTGATGTTGTGCTTGATGTAGTTGTTGTTTAATAAAGATAAGTTTCTGTAATTTAATTTTCATTTACTTTAAGTTAATTTCATTTGATCATCACTGATTAATTAAACAAGAAAACGATACAAGAAAGGGGATTAAAAAACACTATATGATAAAACTATTTGCTTGAATTAAATAATAATAAAAATTAATAAAATAAATTAAGTAATAAAAGGTAAATAATTAAAAAATTATAATTGTTTGTAAATAAAAAATTAAATACAAATATAATGAAATGTATGAATCTATTCGATGCCTGCGTCTTGAATGTGTTCCGCATGGTGGTAGTTGTCTGTCTCGAGGAGGATTTATTCGTCACCATCACTCTTATCATCATCACCATCATCATCACCAGCACCACCACCACCACCATCATCATCAGGAGCATATTTATTTTGTTGATGAGGGACAAATGACGATGTAGCACTTTCATAAAATAAGGACCCTGGAGGTGTATGATTGACTAACCTACCGCTCATAGAAAACTGGGAAAACTAAGAAAAGACCGACATCGATGAGTGAGAAAACTGTACAAGAGGTGTTTGTGCGGCGACCATCGGTGGTGAAGTTGGACCCGCCAAATAACCAGTATATGAACCCCAAGTTGGATCTGTAAACATAAAACCATAATATCCTTCAGGAGGGGTAATATAAATCTACGACGGTGGCGGCATCTGGTATAGAAATGGTAGTGGCGGCATCTGATATGGCTGCGGAGTATACAACGGTATAGACGGTGGCTGCTGTGAAGGTTTCGGTGTTGCAGCTGACGATGAACTGAAATTGTCTGCTCTCTGTCTATGAGTCGGGGAAATATATGGTTATGAAGGTGGACGTCTTTGTCGACGTCGATGAATGCTCCCACATCGTGCTTCCTTGGAAAGTATAACGTTTTCCCGTTCCTGTTGAACTACTCGTAATAACCATCTACAACCGTCAAATGGTCCACATAAATGGGTTCTCTACGGGAAATGTGCCCATGTCGATCCTCTCATATCATGACTCACTCATAATGCTTCAGCAGTCAGCCCACTTCTTTTTTGCCGCGTCGATCGGTGCTATGTAAATCGTCGAGATTTTTAAGTGCTTCTGGAAATGATTGACAAAACCAAATTGGCGGAGCACGCGATCAGTTGGATACCACTCGACAATCGCATAACAGATCAGAGGGACCACTACCATCCAAACATCTAATGGGCCCCTTAAGTCGTGTGGGATGTAAATCATTATCTCTTCAGTACAATAAGAATCTCATTCAAACTAAAACAAATATATATAATTCTTATCAAAATAATAATCTAATTATATAACGATAATTAAAAATAGATTTTGTTATTTAAATACATACCTCTGTGCCAACCTTCTGATCAA